TCTACATGAGGCAATGGAGTCCCCTTACTGATGCCTGGGCTTCCAGCAGGAAGTCCTACAGCAGAGGGGCTTCCTCGGAGACACAGAGAATATCAGAAAAGGGAATGCAGCACCGAAGAACAAGTCACATCCAGCCTCCCCAGGGAGGGATGGCACCCACCGCCAGCTTGGCCTGCCGCTCACGCTCCTTCTCGGTCCTGAAGCGCTGCTGCTCAGCCCTCTCCGCCCGGCGCCGCTCCTGGGGAAGCAGGGGAGTGAGGGGGCGGAGCCCACCACCCAGCCAGCCAGCCCTCTGCGGTGGGTGGAGAGGAAGATACAGCTGGGCATGGTGGTGCATGCCTGCGATCCCAGCACTGGGGAGGCTGAGGCAAGAGGACTTATCTCAAAATAAAAAATAAAACGGTCTGGGGATGTGGCTAGTGCAAAGGCCCTGGGTTCCACCCCCAGTACCACCAAGAACCAGGAGACGGCCCAGTGCACAGGGAAGGCGCCCGGGCACCCCTACTCACGATGCGATCCTTCAGCGCCACCAGCTCTTCCTCCTCCTTCTTGCGCTGCTCGAAGTGCACGTCGATGAGTGTCTGCAGCTCCAGGAGGTCCTTCTCCATGCGCTTCCGGTGGATGTCCTGCGGGACGGGACGGGAACGGAATGGGGAGGGCAGCGTTGGCCGGCCACAGGTGCCAGCAGCGGGCAGCGGGCTTCCCAGGCCAGCGGCGCGGGCGGGCGGGGGGTGGGGGGGTGCCCCAGGGCTGCCCTCCCGAGGCCTGCCGCAGGGCCGCTGTCTGCTACTTACATCGAAGTCCACGCGCTCCCCTTCCGGGATCTTGGGCGGGATCAAGGGAGGCACCACCGGACGGCTGCGTGGACAGAGGGGGCAGAGCCCATGAGTGGGGGAAAAGCTTCCTCTCTTGGCCCTGCCAACCTCTCCCCTCCCCCCACACACCCCATGTGGTGGTGCCCCAAGCTTTCGCGCCCCCAGGCCTCTGCATGACCCGGGAGCTTCTGCTCCTGCACACCGCCTGCCTGGACTCCTGTCTGTCTGCTGTCTCCACGCCCTGCCGCCGGCAGCACCTCACATCAGAATGGCCCGGGCCGCCCTGTGCCCTGCCTGCTCGCTCACTCGGCCCGCGACGGCACCTCCACCCCCACCGGCTGGCGCCTGCTTGCTGTGGGGACCTGGCTGTCCGGGCCGGGCGTGCGAGTCGGGCAGGGAGGCCCGGGAGGCTCGCTAAGGCGGGGGGCTGGCGGCCGTCCCCTGACTGCACCCCGCCCCCGTTCCTGCACCCTGTCTCGGGGGTGGGGATACAGGAGGATGTGATGGGGTCCCACCGCCCCAGGCTCTCACCTCGGTTTGGGGCGCTCCTCTTCTGTCGATGAGGGGGATACAAAGAGATCATTAGTAAGAGTCTGGGGGTGCAGCCCTCCACCCCCAGGAGCCAGGGAAAGACCCCCCAGGGGGAGTTCTGGGGCAGGGCACGGGAGAGGGGCACAGGGAAGTGGGGGGCACAGACGGGAGGGGGGTCACACGCATCAGATATACATTCAGCACCGGTATGGGGACCCCAGCGTCCAGGCCCCCAGGCCCGCCCCACGTACACGGCAGAGCTCCTCTTGCTGCAGACCCAGCGGTGAGGGACGCCGCCCCTCTCGGCCCGGTCCCAGCCCTCCCCCTCTGGGATCCGGCCGCCCCCGTTGTCCCCAACCTTCGAATGTATATGGCGGAGGGCGCGGGAGGCGCCCGGCACACACCCAAGCCTTGCGGAGCGGGCGGCGGGAGGCTTGGGGTCCGGCCCTTTAGGAAGGGAAAGGGCCGAGGCTGGGGGCCGTTTCCCTTCGCGGCCACCAGAGGGCGCGGCGCCCGGGGCTAAAGGGCCGGCGGGGACGGGGCGGGGCGGGGCGGGCGGCCGTCGCTCCCGAGACGAAGCGCCGTGGTCACCTCGCTCTGCCTCCGGCTCCGGCTCCTCCGGGGCTGGGGGGAGAAGCGGGGCGGGGAGCGGGCAGCCAGGCGGGCGGAGAGAGGGACAGCGTCAGAGCACGTCGCCGGGACCCGCCGCCGCCCGCCGCCCGCGGCTCACCTTCCTCCTCCTCCTCGGCGGGCTCCTCCTCTGCGGGCGGGCGGGCAGGGTCAGAGCAGCGGGGCCAGCGAGGTCCCGGGGTCG